TTGTAAGTACTTGTTTATGGGCCCACAAAGTGGAAAGGAAGTTCTAGGAAAACTTGGGAGGTTGCAATTGTCATGGAAACAAATTCCTTGGGATCAATTTGTTTCCAGAGTTTTGGAGGCAACATGATGGGGTAGCAGAAAATACAGAATAAGTTCATTAAGGGGAAGGGAAAGTGTTTTCACTTAACTCCTGGTGGATGGGTTGGACTTCTGAATATTCCAAGGAACACACACACAACTTCACAGGACCCACCTTCCATCACAGTTCCACTCCTTTCCAGATCTTTGCACAACCCTTTGGCAGGGCTCAGCACTCTTGATTCAACCATTTCTTTCTCTTTTCAATAGCCCTGATTTTTAAAAATTGCTATTTTACCAATTGTTTTCAATATGTTCATTTAACTGCCTATGCTGTACAGAAAGAAATTCATTAATGCTTCTAGTGTCATTCTTCACAGTTCTTTAAAATGTTTGAATTCTTTGCCACAAATTTAACTCTAGGGTGGAGGTGTAGACCTCAGCTCACCTGGAAGCCCAAATGCAGCTTGGGACTATGAGGTCAGCTGAAAGGTCGGTGATATTTTAAGTGTGTGGTTTCTGTGTGCCAGCCTGGCAGGCTTTATCAGTGTCACCAACAGCTGATGAGACTGAAAGCACAAAATCTCACAGTAATCTACTTCTGAGGGATGCCTAACTTCAGAGACCCCTAAACAATTCCAGATGAGGAGGTGAGTGGCAGAAAATTTAATGTAAGCTTTCAAAAGCAACTGCTCACTGAGCTCTGCTGTTTATGAAATGAAAGCTAAACCCCAGCCTTTCCAAGGGCACTGGAGATAGGCTAAGTCAAAGCAGTGAGCTGCTAGCAATGATCTGGAAAGAGCAGTGGGGACACACACTCAACTTCTGAAGTCTAGAGCATGGCTGATTTCCAGAAAAAAAAAAAAAGCACTTTCATTGTTCCCATGTTTTTTTTGTAAAAACTCACTCATGACTAGAGCATTACTTAGATTCTGACTCCCCTAAACATGAAGAAATTTAATGAAAAATCTCTTGCCCTCATGCAAAAATTCTGCTCATATTAAATGTACCAGGAAATCCCACTGAAATTTCCTGTCCAACCACCTAACTCTTAAGTGCAACACAAATTCCACAGGGCTAATGAAATCCATCAGATGAAGGCTAGAGGTGGCTCTGAGTCAAAAGTAAGTGCTACCTTCTAATCACATTTGCCTCACAGCATGTTGCACTGGTAAAGGCTGACTGGTTTGATGACCTCTCAGAAATGGTGCTGCTCTGAACTAGCAGGGGCTGTGTGGGTCCCATCAGTAATTTGTATGGCAGCAGTGGCACTAATATTAAACTTAGTTTTCAACAAGGTCCATTCAGAACTCTGCCAGGATGTGAAGGCTGAGATCCCATTGCAGTGGAAAAACAACAGTATCTCCAAGACGTTTTTTTAACCAAATAATCTTCAGATCTAAGAAAGACACACACAATAAATCAACCAACCACATCTGCTTATCTAAACAACAGTGTCTGAAGCTTCCAGATTTATTCCTTGAAAATAGAAACCTGAAAATATAAAGAAACCCAAACAAAATAAGAACTGCTTTATGAAGCCTGACAAAGGCCTGCTGATGGAAAATCAAGAAAGCACAACTGTGCTCTACCGCTTTCAGAGGCTGCCCACACAAAGCTCCCAATTCCTTTTCCTCTTCTGTCAAAAGCAAGACATCAAATAAAAACCAAAACAAAACCACCTTGATTTACCTTTAAATAATATCTTCTGTTCTGATTAATATGTAAATGAATTCTTTAGGATTTTGGGATAAGCACTCAAGGCAGTGTGCCAGCCTTCGAGAAGGCCGCAGAACTTCCAAGTACTATGGAATATTGGAATATTTTGTCTACGAGTGTGACATTAATTCTTCTCTTTAGTACCTGCTGTTGCTGCTGTGTTCCAGAGGTGTGTTTGAGAGTGAGAGACTGACAGACGCTGAACTAATTTAGAAGCATGGCTGCTACTTACATTATTGATCATGAGGTGCATGATTGTTTTCGGGATCAGATCTCGGATACATTTGTTAATAATAGACATGTAGGAGTCCACAAGATTTCGAATTGTCTCCACTTGTCTTTCCAGCTGGGGATCCATTGAAAAATTATCTGCTTGGCCATTCTCTTCAGTTTCAGTCTACAAAGGAAAAAAAAAAGCCTTTGAGATTGAAGTAAACTTGAAATGCATTGGGGGAAAAACCCCTGGACTTACACTGTAGTAATCCAGCAACATAACTCAGACAAAGACTATCCACAGGTTAAAATACGAAGTCTTGGCTTGTTTAACATTAGTGTTCAGCATCATGAAATTTGGACCTTTAAAGTTTAATGCTAAATGAAACCTTCTGCACAAAGCACATGTATGTATTTCCACAAAAATTTGTAATTTTATGTTAAAGAAAGTTTTCAGACAAAGATGCACAGTAGTAAATATCACACCAAAACATTATTCCAGCTCACTTACTGCAATACTTATTATCAAATCTTTTACCATTCACATTCAGCCAGCTGGACCTATGCAAGAAAACAGCATCAGAAGTCTGGATTTTGAATATTATCCTTCTGTGGGTTAAACCCACCCTTGTTATTTGAGGCTGACTACTTTGTGACAAATTTTGCAGTTCAGTCTCAGACTTGTTAGATGTGAATAGCACCTATATAAACAAAGGGTTTATAAAAGATAACAGCAAAAGCATCATTGCTTCCAATGCCCAAGGCTGGATTATATATTTGAGGTCTCTTTTTCACTGGACAGAAAAAAACTTCTTTGTATGTCAACAGCTGATCCAATAAAATACCAGGAGCTTTAACTGGAAGCTAAAAGGCCTATACTTTGCTTCAGTCTGGCCTGTATAAATATAGGAAAACCTAAAGAAAAACAGTAACCTTTTGGTGAAAATCAAACTGCTGTTTGAAGCTCAAAGATGCCAAAAGAATGGAATTTCTACCCAGAGAGTACAAAGAACAACAGTCCCCAAACTCTGATATCAAACTTCTCCCTGAAAACAACTGCCAGAGCATTAATAGCACCAACTATAAAATCTAAATCTGTTCTGTGGATACCTAGAAGCATAAAACCATAGAATCACAAAGTGCTTGGGGCTGGAAGGGGCCTTGCAGCTCATGCTGTTCCAACCCTCCTTGCAGGCAGGGACACCTCCCACCACACCAGGCTGCTCAGTGCCCCATCCAACCTGGCCCTGGACATGAGGAACACGAAGAAACAAAGCATTTGCAAAAACGAAGAAGCCAATAAGGAGAACAAGTTACGTATCAGCCAGAGCCCTGCCAGCACAATTCCATTTACAACAGAGCTTTCAGCTAAAATTGGCACATGGCTGGTGCTTTAAAGATTTCTGGAGCAGCAGAGATCAGTATCAAACCCACCAGTGAAAGGCCATTAGTGCTAAATATGCAAACATGTCACCAAAGAGGCTTCTCCCTGCAGGAAACTGGGCCAAGAAGGGACTCCTGGTTTCACGTCCCAGTGCAGAGTCTGCTTCTGCTCACTCAGCATTGACAGGTAGAGCACTTCTAACCTTTTAAACTACAGCTTGGTCAGTCCAGGCTAAAGGCAATGGCATGTTTGTGATGTGTTAAGTTCTAGTTTTGTTATGAAATAAGACCCAATGTACCATTTAGAAACAAAACGGAGTGTTTGTTAAAGAACTTTCAAAAGTACGGGTGAATTACTGGAAAAGCAGCTGATCTTTAAAAACAATTAACTGTACTTCCTAAAAATCTTGTGACTGTGGAGGACACTGAAAGGGCTCTTGATGAAAACAGGGTTTTCAATGTTGTAATATTGGTAGACACTACCTTAAAAACTTTAATCTTTTGGTTAATAAACTGCATGTAGCCAAAAGTCACAACGCATTTTCTTTAGCCTCCATGTCTAAAGAAAAACTAATGGTAATTTTCCCTGTGAAATACCAAATAAATAAAAAATCATACATCTCTTATATATCTGCATATTTGAGCCAAGTAACTGCAGAACAAAAATTCCCCCTTCCCAGTTCCCCTGTATTTGACATCTGTTCTCTTTCTTTTCTTCTTTGCTGTCTATATAAAGTGCAGTTTGTTCATGTATTTTTTTCCTTTTATTTTTTTCACTCTTTAAATTACAGATTGCAATAAGATTCTTAACTGGCTAAGCAGCAAAGTGACAGATGTTTATCATTATCCTCATCAAGAGAATATAAAGTAAAAATAGTAATTTGTCTCTGATCTTTAAGGCAAAGGGTAATAGTCTCTTGTTTGAAACTGTAACAGAACTGACTTCATACTGTTGATTTATTTTCTCTGTAATCAAAAAATATCAATCTTTCATGACTTTGCAGTAATTTATTATGAAAGCTTCTGGCCATAGTATTCCTAATGATTTGATGTCTCAACTGAAGGCTTTTCATGCCAGAAACCCTCTTGTTTGCATCACATCATGCAGATGGAAATCTGCTTCCAGCAGGTTTCTGTGCCCTCCAGGACACCTCCAAGCATTAGAAAGCTTTCTTTGCTCAGCTGCCTCAGCTCTGTGCCAACAGCAGCAGCCAGAAATGAGGTTGCCTGGTGAGGCTGGGCATCCCAAGTGACAGAGATGCCCTATTCCACCTCCAAGCCATTCTTTCACCGCAGCTTTTGTCTCTCTGAGCCTCACAGTGATCCCACCTCCAGTGCAGCTCATCCCTCAGCCCAAGCCCCTGCCCCTGTTTTTCACAGCATGGCTCCTGCTCAGTGAGTAAACCCAAAGCAGAACAAGAGAGCAAACCCCCCCAGCTCTCTGCCACTGCTAACAGCATGGCCAAGCTGAGCACGAAGGGAGAACAAAGAAGGTGCAAACAGCTTTCCATGCCTTCTTTCCCAGCAGCCAAGGCAGCCCCAGTCCTTTCAGCTCCTCATCCCCAAGCCAGAACTCACAAGTTCCAGCACCAAGTGTTAAGCGACAGCACATGAATCTGGACTAGGTTTTTAGTCAGTTGTCTCTTGCTTAATGCTGCTATTAATTGTTGACAGGAATGGAATATTGCTACTTCAACGGAATGCAAGTGCAATTACTTTAGAGTTCTGCAAACCTCCAACAAAGAAAGCTAAGGAAGAAGCGAGAGTGCTAAAAAACAGGTAAAGGAAATTAATTCATCTGGGAAAACTCTAAATGAGAGTATGTGATGGAAACACGCCAAGGCTACAAAGAAGCAACAGGTGAAAAAAAACGCATCTGAAGAGAAGGTAAGGTGGGAGCCAGGGGGGTGCTTTCATATATCCTTTTACACACCCACAGACATCCTTCCTTTCTGTTCCCTGCACCAAAGCTATTGATCCCTTGCACTCTGCTGTGAGTCTCACCTGTCCTTCAGAAGCTGCTCTGTGATCCCTCCATAAAAAGGTGCTACTGAAACCCAGGGTACACCACTGCTGCTCTCCAGCTTCCCTGCATTCACACACCTTCTGTACTAAGAATGTGTTAAGGATTAACTCATGTGTCATACAAGAGCAGACTAAAAACTGCCTGTGAAATCCAAACCACTTAAGTTTGTGGGAATTTTACTGCTGGCTGCAGTGGGAATAGGATTTCATCATTTCTACCAGAAATGTTATCAATTTTCTGAAGATTGTGAACTCTCTGCTGCAAGAGGAATGATTTAGTGTGGTACTGGGGATGCAGGCATGAGGAACTGTGTGCAATCCAAAACAAAGGAGTAATACCTTAGGATATCAGGGTTATTCTTCTGATTGTAGAAATTATAAGCAAGTTCAAGAATGTCCCAAGGAAACAATGAAAAGTGATTCCTTTTGAAATTCACAGCAAAACTGGTTAATACACTGAAAACAGTCCTGAGCTGGCCACACAGAGAGAGCAATACTTCTAATTTCCATGATTTCATTACATTCAGGGCAGCTGCCAGCGTATTTAAGAATGTCTTGTATAACATTCCTGATGTCAGTTCCAAGAAGGAGCATTTGTCTGGCATTTTCATTAGAGAAGTGTATCAACCAATTTTCTGTAATCAAAAAGGCATTCTATTAACAGTGACCAAGAGGAAGCAGACTGGAAGGTGACTGACTCAAGGGTAAAAATCAGAGCAGCAGCAAAGCAATGCTCTGTGCAATACGAAATATGTCCTTGGCTGCAGAAATTGCTAATTTAAAAGCTCTTTCAGCTCTTTCATGTACAGTTCCAGGTTCATAACAACAACAACCACCTGAGAATTAATTATTCCAGCCAGACTGCATTTATGTTTTAATTCACAGCTGCTGAAAATACACATAAAATCTATTTTATGTATCCCTGTCCAAGTAAGTTTTTTTTAATGCACCCACACTCAGCACACTGCAGTTGTCCTAAGCCTCCTTGCTTTAACCTAAATCTTTACAATTGGTTCTCTCTTCATTGCAGTTTGATGCTGGCTATATAATTTAGCTAAGATCCTCTCAGCTGTACATAGCGTGCCTTTTGCCAGAGGACTGCTGAAACCACATGATGGCTTCACACAGTGAGGTTTTCTTACTGGAAGGAACCACAAGTAAATGACAATACATTACTTTTGTGCATTTACAACAAAGCGAGCAGCAGAAAAAGAACACTTCCCGGGTAGCTTGGAAGCTGTCCTTTTCCCTCACAGAGGGTGACTTTGCCACTCTCTTCCATGCTTTCAGCATGTTCTGACTTTGTGCTGCTGTTCCCTTTACTGAGCCACCCACAGGCTGCCCCTTTCAGCTGCTGTGCCTTCATTAGCAGCCTGGAACTGCTCTGAGCAGAGGTTCTGATCTGGCTTTCCCTCACACACAGCATCTCTCTCACTTCATAACCCCGAGAGGGATGAGACACCCTAGGGCAGTTTGGTTCACATGTATTTCACTCTCTGGATTAGCTTAAACCATCACTTACTCTGATTCTTCTCTGTGGTTACAGAATTGCCCAGTACAGACCATGAGCTAAATTCTCCTGCTGAATGCACGCACTGCTCCCCAGGTACCTCCATGGCTTTAACCATCCCAAACACTCCCAGGCTGGCAGGCTCTCTCCCTGCCTTATTCCACAGAGAAGCTGATTTGGAACTGTGAGACTGAGAGGAATGATTACCAGAGGTATTACCAGAACTCCAAGAAGTCTGGACTTAGTTTCATCTCACAGTTGATAACTGATCATGGCAAACCAATCCAATCTCCTTCTAGAGCAGGGATTAGGATCTTATGGGTATTAACACAGATACCACACATCTCAGACCTCAGTAAAGCTTCATGACACAATCTCAAGTGACATTCTCATTAGTGGAAGTGTGCTTTCCCTGCACTTACTGCTTGGATGCTCATTGCCATAGAAAAGCTGTCCATGGCTCACTGGCAAAGTGAAGAACTGTATCAAAGGGACTTTCCTATGGAATGTGGTTTTTAATGTGCTCATTAAAGTCTTAATGCTCAGGATGGTGGTTTATAGCCTGCGTTTTTTACATGTACAGATGAGAAGAAACTGGAAGAGAATTTGAACAAGTTAGATGACAGGACTGCAGTTCACAATGACCCAGAGAAACAGGTTCAAAACCTAGGTGAGTTCATTATGAATAGAAAGAATTTGACTTCACAGATTCTCCTGAGTTGGAAGGGACCCACAGGGATCATCAAGTCCAACTCCTGGCCCTGTACAGGACACCCCAAGAATCCTGCCATGGGGTTCCTTAGGCAGGAATAAATCACTTATATGTGAGAATGGAGCAGTTCAGCAGAAAAGGAGCTGTGTCCACAGTGCAATATAAACACAACCTGAGTCAATAATGTCTTGCTATTATACAATCATTACAAGAATTGTGCATCCAGTGCTGCTTATCACACCACCAGAAATTTAAGGAACATTTTGAGAGTGTTCACATGAAGCCATTGAACATGGTTCAGGGCTCTGTAAAATATTGCCTGAAGGGTAAAGGTAAGATAAGTTGGAACTGATGAGTTCAAAAGATATCACTTGTGGAAAGGTAGAGATGAGCATCTTTGCAGATAGCAAAAGATGTCAAATAAATATTTGGACATAGTTTTATGGTAAGAACAGTGAAGCACAGTAATAGATGGACTAGGAGAGCTTGCAAATCTCTTCCAAGGATTAGAGCAGCATCCCTCAGAAAATACCTAGATACAGAGACTTTTCCTTGAGGAAAATAAATAGGCAACATCTCACATCCCTTCCATTAGCAGGTGCTACTGGGTGCAAAGTGATGTGAAATTGCCCACAACACTGCAACAAGAACAGGGATTTCTGAAAAACAAACAAACAAACAAACAAACAAAAACCTAAAAATTACAGTATCTTCTACTTTTTGTTCTACACAAAAATCAAGTAAAAAATAAAACCTTGCTGTGAATAGCTTTCTCCCCTCAAAGAATGTGCACTCCAATTTCACCATTTGCTGCCATGTACGTCTCTCACACAAAGGACTTTTACATAACCCTCCCTACACTGCAAGTTTTGACTGGGGGCCAACAGCTGCTTCATGCCTTTCAGAACAGACTGCTGGACAAGCAAAAGCAGAAAGAGGCTGGCATAAGGAAAACAGCACCTTTGTTTATAAAACAAATACTACTGTGGAATTTGCAAACTTTTCAGTCAAGAATTTCCTTGTCATAACAACACATGAAGTGCCCCATATTTATAAGAGCACATTAGAAAAAAAATCTAGGATTTGAGATACTATTGGCATGGGATTTGCTATTATTTCAATGTAGAAGGATGACTGTGGATATTGGGAAGTCACAAACATGGTGAGTTACCCTGGAATTCAAGTCATGATGGTGATGACTCGAAGTGCAACGATTGGCCCAGATGATGTTCAGGCTAAAATGTATTGTGGATTTGTTTCCAGATGCATGAAACACATTCCCAGAGCGGGATCCAGCAGTGGCCATTAGCTGTGAGGGGAACAGGATCATCTGCTGTGAAAGGAGGCAATCAATGGGTGGAGGCATCAGCCGGACATATCAGGATTAAAGGATTAAAGCTACTGGCTCTGGTATGCAGTCCCCTAAGAACCAAAACAAATACAAATCCCAGCGTTTCTACCAAAGCGGATGAAAACAGAAATGAAGAAAATTAGTCATCCACTAGGCTGATCAGGGAAGTATTAACAAGAAGACTGAAATCACACCTTGCCCCTCTTCTCTGTTATTTACCTCCCTTGGCAGTAACCATGCAAGAGAGGGTCACAAACAAAATTCTCCTTATTCCAGCAACAGTGCACAAGGTTCTGCTGAAGGATTCCTTTAGGAGCAAGGGATTTTCTTATTTTCAAGATGAAAATGGGGGCAAGCAAGTGCTCAGTGCACAGACAGGGGCTGAGTGAAATACTTTGGCTGAGGTAACATGTTTAAAGTGAAGCTTACAACTTAACGTGTCTAAGAGTTGCACATTTTTCACCAAACGTGATCATTTCATTGGTAGGTACCCAGAATAAGGAATTAAAATCATAATTCTGTTTTAAATGAATTCTGTACTGAACTTCTATTCCGTGGTCCCTCCTCAGTTGTTCCAGCTGAGGTGGTAGCTTCTGGACACTCAGCAGCCTGGCTGAAGTAAGTGTGACTAGAGGAGGAGGAGGAGAAGGAAGAAGAGGAGGAGGAGGAGGAGGAGGAGGAGGAGGGGAGGAGGGCAGCAGATCCCTGTGCAGATCCCTGTGCAAGCCGGGAGGGAGGGGCTCGGAGGGGCCTCGCAGTGGGAGAGCTCTGCACAGCATCCAGTGCCAGGCTCTATAAATTCCAACCTTGTCTTTTATTTTTACTTGATCTAATGCAATGTGTCTCTTATAACTCTGGCTTTTTTCCATAATTAATGGTTTCTAGGAAAATATTCTGAAATTCTCCCCTGATAAGCACCTAGACAAACTTGATGTTTCCTCTCTGAGACACAAAAGAGGACGTTAAACTGTTTTCACCCCCACATCCCTCGAGCCATGAGAAGTACCAGATCTGTCTCTGCTGGGCCAAACTAAGCCCCAGTTCACCACAAACTCAGTGCAGCACCGACAAATGATCTCCATAGTAAATGATGCAAATAAGAAATGTCAGCATGTTCCAAAATTCCTCACTTAATCTTATTGCCAGTTGTATAGTCTAGATAATCAGTAAATAAATCCCTCTAACTTTGCTCAAATCCTTAGGGGCTGAATACACAAGAGAGCACTTTCTAATTCATTCTCATTAACCTTCCCAGCTCTAAACAAAGTAATTTCCTATTTCTCTTAGTGTCTGAATTTTCCACTGGCCTCTGCAACACCTGATTTAGCAGCAGTGATTTCTCACTTGTGATTTCTCTTTTGAACTGGCATTGTTCCTTTTCCTCACACATATGCTCACTGGAATAGCACGAATCAGCAAGATTTAAAACCTCCCATTCTTAAGTCTGAAGCCCCTAAAGGGAAATTGCAGTTGTGATGCCAAGGAACACAGTCGTACGTTATTTGACTTTTCCTCGGCCAGGCTGACAGCAGAGGGGGAGGGAGGGAGGAAGGAAAGGGGAAGGGAGAGGAAGATGGCATTTTAATAGCACCCACACTGGTTTCACACAGTTGGATCTCTGTGCTCTGGAGCAGCACCATTTCCGTTCCCTTTGCCTCACTTTCAGCCAGCACTGCTCAGCCGGGCTCTATGGGAAGGGCCCTCAATCTTATTTTCCCAGCATGGACCACATCATAGTACAGAAATCTGTCTTGTGGACAACCCCCTAGCCCACCTTTTACCCCGAATTTTGACAGCCCATTACCTACTCAAGCCTTGCAGGGACCACCCCACCCACATCCCAGATGTGACCATATGAGCCAACATTCCTGCCAGGACAAGATGGATTATCTCTCCACCTCTTGGCCCAATTCTCATTGTCTCAAGTCTCTGTAGTATGCACAGTAATTGTCTATCTGGAAAAAAATTAGTAAGAAAGAGGAATGTATTTAATCTAATTTAGTAAGTGGACACACAGGAACCACCAGCATCTTATGTTGACAAATCTGCCTTTTCCAGATGTTAATCATATCTCAAGCATAGCTTGGCCAGAGGCCTCATCAAAACATTTCATTAGGTAATTCAGGCCCTAAGATTCAAAGTTCTCACCCATATCAGTGAGTTTTCCACAAGCCCTCTGTCAGGCAGAGTGACAGTGGGCTTCAAATTCTGGCAGGAACACTTACCCCAGCTGAGCATCAACGATCATCATATCCACAGTCTCTATTTAAGGTCCCCTATAAAGTTGTAAGCAAAAATGGAACCTGCAACATTCCTGTAGCAAAAAAGCCTCAAAATAGAGCAGAGGAGGAATTTGAAAACATTGAGCGCTTTACTGAAATGTAATAAATACTTCTAAACAAAAGAAAATAATCTATAGAGAAGAATTTTGGATTCATGCCACAAAAACAGACATTGAAAATTATTGGGTAAAATTATTTTCAGGGTAAGAAATGAATTGTGAGCAACTATGCTGTACGTAATATTTATGACATGGCTTCCATTTTGTATAACTATGACAAACCCCTTCTATGTATTCTATAAAAGCAGTAGAAAATGAAAGAAATTTTTTTTTTCCTCCTAAAAATAAATTTTATTTAAGAGAAGGTGAGATTTTGGTAAGTAAATACACATGTCTGTAAGCAACAAACATAAACACTTCATGTTATAAGACCACATTCCCTTTGGCACAAACCACAATGAAACTATAAAGTTTCAAGCTTAAATCACTCTGACCTCCTCTCTGTAGGGAAGGTAAAGGACATCAGTGATTAGGACTGTGACCATATGGAGTTTACCTTTGCAGTTAAAATTACCTGGCTTTGCTTGCTGACACAAACAACCCTAACTTGGCACTCCAGTTGGTTACTTCTGCAATTTTACTTTTTTTTTTTAAAGTTAAATGACCTATTATGGCATTTTCAGTTCAAAAGGATTTATTGCTTTTCCCCCTTCTGTCACTGATCAGCAGCAAAAAGTAAAGTCAAGACTCATTCTTCACAAAATGCCAAAGAAACCCTGTCTTTGTGGCAGCACAATGAGGAGCAGCAGCTCACACACAATCCTGAGGATTACAACTGCTTTTGTCAAGAAAAGAAGAAACTGCCCCCCCATTAGGGCTCTCCCTCCCCTGCTCCAGGGTTTGTGCTTTCTGAGCAAAGCCTGGGGAGAAGAGCCCTGGTTAATGTATCATCCCAAGGATGGAATGTCTCACAGTGGAGCTACAGACAGGAAATTTCCCTCTTCTTCCCCTATGGTTCTAAAGGTTTTCTGCAATGAAATTACTGGGAGACAGCAATATCCAGGGGCAGGCATGGAATTTGAACCCATGGCCTTCTGGCTTGGAGGTGAGACTATTCCTAACTGAGCCAAAGTGACACATACATAATATGCTTTCAAGGATTTTAGAGAGCTCTGTCATGATTTAAAAACAGTAAGTCTTTGTGGTACAAACCACAGGGCAGGAAAGAGCTGGGGCTCCCTTTTTACTGCTAATTTTAGCCAATGAATTGTTTATAATCTCCTGCAAAATACATAAAGCCTTATTCTGCCTTAAGCTAAGAGAGAACAGACTTTCAAAACTGATTCTTAATTACAGTGTTCCTCTGCTAGATGGGATGGAGTCAGGTTCCAAAATTGTGTCAGAGTATATGAAGTGCTAAAATGAGGATGGGTGAGCTATTTTTAAACATGCTCAAAGACTTTGAGGTCAAAATCCCTGAATTTATAGCCTTATGCCTGTATTAAAACTCATGGACTATTAAGACCTTTGTGGCAAGATTGGAGTATCATTTCATTTGAGACACCCTCTGCCTTCAGAGCCCTGTGTTCCCTACCACTCTGACAAACTGGGGGTGCTGGGGAGTCACCTTGAAGCACAGGTTATTTCCCTGCTGTAGACAGGCATTTGGGAGATAAAGGGGATGAGACACTTCCAGCCCAGCACGTTCCCTCCTCCTCTTTTTTCCCTAGACATTCTGCAAGTGAGAGGCTTGCCTTTCCAGATGGCCAGGAAGTGAGTGGGTTAGAGAGAGCTGGAGGAATCTTAGGCAAAAGCACATAATTGCTCCTTAGTCTGCCCAGCCTGGAAACCCAAAGCAGCCTCAGGCCTGCTGGTATTTGCTCAGCACAGTTGTGTTTCCATCTGAAGAGCTGGGCACCTGCTGCTGGGCAGGATGGAGTGCTGCTGCCCAGGAACACTTAGGTTTAGCAGCAGGCATGCTGTCTTCTCCTACACAGCTTCTTCCCCACCACAGGAAAAGGACTTGGACCAGAACGAGTCCTGAAATACATTTTTGACTGTTTGGAAAATCCAGACTCGTACCAAAATCATTGTTCTACCCATGGAAATAAACCATGCACAGGCATCGCCTGAGAAGGACTGGCCCTGCCTCTGCCCCCACTCTGAGAGTGCCACTCCTAACCTCAGGTTTGACTCAGGATGAGTAAAAGCTGTCACCTGCTACAGACACTTTGATTTCTTTCAGTAATGATCAATATACACCCCTTCTTCATAGGAAAAAGGCCGCAGAGTGAGAAGAAACTGAGCTGAAAGACTTTCCCTGCCTCACAAGTTGAAGTGGAAATAACTCTCAGACCCTTTTCCCCATCCACATTCTGCATCACCTTTAGGTGTATCTTACTCTAGAGGCCAAACACTAGACATCAAAGGCTTTAGGGCTCTGAAGACACTGCAAAATTACTTGCACCATTTGCATTAGTCATTTTCTAACTGAGGTAAGGTTTTATGGGAAGCCACTGCACAGAGAAGAGCTGCTATTTTGGAAAAAAACAGATAGAGATTAGAAACAGAGGAAGACAACTGGCTCTAATGCTGTTTTCAAGTGAGGGGATTTGTTTGTCCAGTTTTTGCAATTGCATTTACCTGAGCATCACTTAAACCTATAATTTTTTTCCATTTGGATTTCTGTGCAGGAAATACTAAAATACTAATGAACTGTAGATGGTCCAAGTAAATGCAAAAACTAGTCAAAACTCAAATCCTTTTCTTGATTGTATATGGATTTATAAAGCCATAACACCATGGAACAAGCACAAAACAAAAGCCTTGTAAAAAAAAGGTTTATCACAAAAAAGGCCAAGTGAGCAGTTAAAAAAACCATCCAGTGTTCTTGGTTCTGTTAGGAATTAATGTACACTCATGTTCAGTCAAAAGGAGTCACTGGAATGGGATGTGCATTTTTATCTACCAGAAGATCATAATACACTTATTATCATGAGAGGGCCTCCCACTTGGAGCAATGCTGGATGGATCCATGTTCCTACTTAGGCATATTGCACACTTTTCGTATTTTTACAAATTCACGGTATTAGTCCATCTTATAAGTATTAAAGTCTTATTCTTTCAGAACTTCCCTGTGTCGATCTGAAAATCTCTACCATTATAGGAGAATGTGGTAAGTTCGGGGACTCTTTCTCTCCTTGGGGTCATGAG